ATTGTAAATTTTGGTCAATGACATGAGACAAAGTATATGTGAACTGCTGTATGAAAAGTGAATTTACTCTGTAAATCTTCACCCAAATCCTAATAAAAAGAAAAAAGAATCTTAGGTCAGAGGAAAAGAAAACAGAATTCACTAATGCTTGTATCTCTGCATGTATGGGAGAAAAACAAGGATGGGGACTTCAAGTAGAGGGAATACTTAGGTTTTTATAGTTTAACAAAAAGATACACATTTTTAAATAATGTCATTTACAGTCCCACGTATATAGCACATACAGAAATATATATATTTTTTAAACTAGAGTTGGAAGATTGTATATTTTATAACCTAACTAAAATTCAAGAAGAAAACTAGCATTCCAGATGACAGTTACAGATGATTGAATTTTAAATGTTCTCTCCTACCTGGTCCATCCCAGTCATCTGTCTCAATTCCAGCTTGACCCGGCTTCTCTGATTGTATGTCCCCATCGGATTCTGCCATCTCCTGGATTCCCTCATCATCACCTGGAAAGACACCAACACAGAGAGAAACAGAAATGAGTAAAGCTGTCTATTTGACATTCAAATCCTTGTACAGAAATTTCCTTTTTATATACACATCTAATATAAATACTAGATTAATATTTATATTAATCTAATATAATTAGATTATAATTAGATGTGTATATATAAATTAATATATATATTAATTTATATATATATATACACCTAATTACATGTTTGTTACATATACTGTCATTGTGCTAATACATTTCTGTTATTCATCATTTTGGTATCTATTTGTGGGTCTATAATGAAGAAAGTAACATTAGCCATTGATCAATAAATAAAGTTAAATACTATAAACAATAAAGAACATTTCCATATAAATTTGTCTTTAGAGTTATTAACATTACATATAAATATAAAAGAAAATGCGAGTATACTTTTTCTAGTGCTTTTAATCAGAAAACCCAAACTCATTTTTCTATATAGTTTTTATAAAGGCATGATGCAGCAGAAAAAAATTAAATATCTTAGGGTAAGACATACTTGTATCTTTGGTTAAATTCAGATAATTTTGAAGCTATTTATTGTTCCCCAGCTTTAAGCTTGCTAAAACTTGGCCAGATTTCCTTTAAAAATGGGTTATGAAAGGGCCATAATTAAATGATGAACATATGAGATGGGCTATAGACTCAACTCTTCACAATGTAAGAACCTGTAAAGTTATACTTGTGTTTGAATAAGTGCAACTGGTTTCTACAATTTCATGCCTTCATTTTCTCATTAAAAAAGGAAAGGAATGTAGTTATGTTTTAAGCAAAAAATATAGCTATGGCAAGGAACAAGAAATATATTAACAATGAGATCCTATTTTTAAGTTAACAAGTCTAATTTATGAGTACCTTCATTCTAGGTAAGGAGCTCTGGTAGCACAGTGCCTCAGGCATCTGACTGTTAACCAGAAGGTTTGTGGTTCAAACCCACCAGCCACTCTGCAGAAGGAAGACTGGTCAATCTACTTCCATAAAGATTTACTGCCTCGGAAATCCAATAGGGATTGCCATGAGCGAGAATCAACTCAATGACAGTGGGTTTGGTTTCATTTTAGGTGGTGACATATCAAAGTATGTGCAGTGTTAACAGAAAATAATCTACTTTAACTCTGTGTACACATAAAGTATTAAATAGTAGCTGCTTTAATGGTAATACCCACTGCCATCAAGTTGATTCAAACTCACCTTGAGCCCCATGGGTTCCAAATGCTGGAAAGCTTATACAGAAGAAGCCTCATCTTCCTCCCATGGAGCAGCTGGTGGGTTTGAACCATGAACTCTCTGGTTAGTAGCCAAATGCCTTACCCACTGTACCACCAGAGCTCCTTTTAATGGTAGAGATCAGAAAATACTATAAGAAGAAAATGTGAAGATGGAAATAAAGGAGTCAATACTGAAAATAAATACTAAAAGTTTAAAAAAAAAAAAAAAAACCTCACTGCCATCAAGTCGATTCCGACTCATGGTGACCCCTCCTTGGGTTTCTGAGGTGGTATCTCTACAGAAGTAGATTGCCCAGTCTTAGTTTAAATCTCGTAATGCTAAAGTTTTAAATTCCTTGCGTATTTAGTCTTCCTCTGAAATATTCAATAACTTTTTTTTTCACATGGTTGCCTAAGTATCTAACAGTATTTAAATCTTCACATGATTATACAAACAAACAAACAAAAACACTATTTTTAAAGTCTCTCAAAGTAATCTAGAAAATACAAAATTCTCAGGAAACCATTATTATTATAAATGATAAAAATGCAATGATAATTTGAGTTTTGAACTTTAAATTCCATACATTTATTTCTCTATATAGCCTCATAAAATGAATTAGTTTAAAAACTGGAATAAAGGTAAGGGAAGAGAACATGGAAACATACAGACAGCTCTACTGAACTCAATTTTCTTAACAAAGGGACAATGGGCTCCAATGGGTTACAAAGAGTGAAACACACATACACACCCAAGTCCGTCTGTGCCATAGAACCCTAAGTCTGGAATGGAAAATTCTTTGAAAGGCCAGTTATCTCTTCTCTTTAGAATTATCAGAATGAGTAGCAAAGAAATCCTCTCTAGAAAATATTTATTGAGCTTTTACCATGTTTAAGAAACTATAGTTGGTATAGTAGTATATATACAGAAAAATACAACTCCTTTTCTGGAAGCAATATAAAACCCGTAACAACAGTAGGTTTACAAATAACAAGACTGCAAGACAAGTTTTAAGGGTATTCAGAAAGGTACAAAGGCTCAGAGGTAAGAGATTTAATCTGTGTTCCTTTTTGCAGGTCACATAGAAAACCATGGCCCCATCAACCCATGTTGATGTTGATTCTTCCCAAGCTTTTCATACTATTTTCATGATTTTTTGGCACCACTTCTACCATAATTTACTCAACACTATTTTTTAAACTGACTCATGGTTATAACTTATATAATGATATTTTAAAAACATATTATCCCAACTATAAATGGAAGACCAGTATCATATGCCAAAAACATAAGTTATTCATAAAAATACATATAATAAAAATAAATGCAATACTATACTATTCTAGCTAGTGTTGTCTATTTATAGTTTCTGAACTGTGACCTCATTTCTTTGTGCTAGACAGGGAGAAGAGCAAGCATTATAGTAATCATATTATCATGAAGTGGATTCACTGCCATTGTTGTACAAAAACAAACTTGAAAACTTTCTCACCAATCGACTGAATGTTAATTAATACAATAATCCTGAGAACTACTGGATTATTTTAAGTGGTACCTAACTTTGGGCAAGACTGACCATTCCATCACTTTACTTTTTCATTTGCGATCAGAATCCACACTAGAATCAATGGCTTACAGTTGAATGACCTTACAACTGCACTCTAACATATTGAGTACAGATTTTACTCAGGAAATTAACGCAGGATAATATACGTAGGAAATTTTCCTCCAAAACAATGAAGGGTGGAGAATGTAACCCGTATTTTTTAAACAGCATCTACTCCTTACAAGCACTTTTCCCTCTTATAGTATAAATCTTCAAACATAGGGATTTGAGTATGGAGAGAACCTTAGAGATTGTCTAACCCAAGTGTCTTACTTTACTGATAGGAAAATTGGTGCACAGATAGATTCAGTAACTACGCATGGTCTTATAGTGTCAATATTTAGTGCTGCATAAGCACTTCTTCATCCTTACCCCCAAACCTTCTCATGCTCCAGAGCCCAGAATTAAGTGCCTCCCAGTCATCCTAGAAATGACAGATGGCAAGCATTTTAGGTATATCTCCTTTCCCAACAGATGTCATCATAGGGTTTGTTGGGAGCATGAAAGGCATCACAGATGCCATGAAAAACAGCATTCTGTAACAGAGTTAGGAATTAAATTTGTGTCTTTCAACTGCTAATTTTGCATTGTTTCCAAAACATCCTTTTTCTGTCCCCCTCTCCAGTTGACAGAATCATGCATACCTGAAATAACTGAAGAAAACTTCAAGAGCAGCCCATAAGCAAGCAAGAGACTGTGCTATCAAAAACACTATATTTAACAGTATATCTAAGAAAGAAAAAAATCGCATTAAAGAGAAAATCTTCCTGAGTTTTGCTATTACATTTTAATTACTGGAAATGTGGTGCCATGCAAATTCCAATCAATTATTAACATTTATAATGGACTTTTTTGAAGATACAATGAGATATATTTTAAAAAGAGGGACAACATCTTTCTCTTAATAATCATATCATTTAGTTGAGGAGACTGAAAATATGCATGATGTGCAGTAACCGCAATTTAAAGTAATGTTGAGTAAATTGTTGTAGAAATGGTGCCAAAAAGTCATGAAAATAGTATGAGAAGCTTGGGAAAAATAAATAACTACATTTAAGGCAGTTCATGAATAAACCCAAATGAGAACTCAAAAGCTACAGAAATTCAGAGACTAGAGGCATAAAATAAAGCTGACCAAGGAGAAACTATAATTATTTGGGGGGTTTTGCCTTCATCCTGAAGATAATGAGAAGCCATTAAAAGTATTTCACTGGGTGAATAATATGATCATGTGATACAAATACAGTAATCAACAAATATTTACTGAGTTATAGGAATACATCTTCATAGACTTCAGATCCTTGAGTTCTCCCTTACTCTGACTCATGCTTCAGATGTTCTTCTCCAAAATTTTCATGACATTTTGGTTAAGAATACTCTAAAATAATATTTTACCAGGTAAAGACTATATCATAAGCTAAAAAACAAAGGATTCAGTTGAATGAATAAATGGACATATACTGAGTGAAAGTGACAGGTGACAGAAACCATTCTTTATTAATTCATTTATTGAGTCCCAGGTTCTGTGTTCAACACTGACAATGCAAAACAAACCTAGTTCTTTTTCTAATATAATTTACAGATTAATGTAGAGCAGAGATAAATCAATAAACAAATGGTGACAGGAACACAGAGGCATGATACCTAACCCAAATTTAATTTAAAAAAAAAAAAAAAAAAACACCTCACTGCTCTCAAGTTGATTCTGACTCATAAACATGAGCCAATTTAAAGTAATGTTGAGTAAATTATTTTAGAAGTGGTGCCAAAAAATCATGAAAATAGTATGAGAAGCTTGGGGAAAAAAAATGGGTTGATGTGGCCATGGTTTTCTACGTGACCTGCAAAAAGGAACACAGAAGTCATGTGTCATGACAGTAGTTTGGTGTCATGGTTGCTTCCTGGAGGAAGGAAGCAACAACAGAAACAAAATTTCAGAAGCAGGATCTTAGATGAGCCTGATCAACTTAGGTTTAATACCCTATGGCTCCAACACTGTAAGCCAAACTTCAGAAAAAGAGTGGCAGTCATCTTTCCAAGGAATCCCGTTTCGGAAAGATTACAGTAATTAAGTGATTATACAGGAAAAATGGCAGATTGAAGATGAAGATAAAGCCAGTTCAATGACACAGTAGTAGGATCCTGACAAAGTCTGG